ACGCTTACGTATTGCCTTCAGAGCCAAGATTGTCATCCTGCTGTAAGAATAAATCACGTGACCAACGCGTCACCGGACTAAAATTGATGCACGCTATTTGCGCGAGTAGCTTGTCGGCTATGTTGAGCGGTAGGGCAGCCATCTGCTGGAAACGTTTAGTGGCCAATATCTCTGCTATTCGGTGCTGCAATAGAAAGGCTTGTAACGACGGTGCTCTTCGAATCCATTTGATAACCGTTTTTGAGTCACCCAAGGAATGCAGTCTGTGATACCGGCAATGTGTTCATCAGATGACCATGAGACGAGTGCCCAAACAGCCGTCTGATGTCTGCCGTGGCACGGTAAGAGCTTTATTGGCGCGCATTTTGACTTAGAAGAAACAATGTTACATCAATTTTACCCGATGAAGTTTACATCGAAGATAGGCGGCCAGCGGCGAAGGCATCTTCATCCATGTCGACAAATACGTGGAGCTAGCATTGAGGTACACTACTTCAAACAAAACGAGGTATGGCGTATTTCACAACTTCTGGGAGTTGTCCACATCTCCCAGACAGCGTTACGTCGTCGGCAACAGGTCGTTCCACTGATGTCGTGTTTCCATAACTCACGCATAAGTAGTTTGTCGCCATAGACGAAGGTTTCAGAAATCCTAGAGGTCGAAAATCGACAACAATGCTTATTCTTTAGAGGAGGTCTTTCCCATTTACACCGCTTCACCAACACATTGCGGGAATTTCAATTTAAAACCGAAACAATCGACGATGACTGCCAAAACAAACCAAGTACCCGTTTCAACGAAACCTTCTTATTATCAATTGGACGTGAGACATCAGTCGTTGAGTGCGTCAACTACTTTCGATGCATTGATGTAAAATTGCGGCTCAAACCAGCATCCATATGAATCGCTCGGACCTCTGAGTTGCAAAATGGCCTTCCTTCGCGCAGAAGCTATCAACGAAGTCATCGACAGAGTGGTGGTCCAATATCGCCTTAACTGCACGACATTCGTTCTGCGATCATCTGGTGCTCCAATGCGTTTACTTTTTGACATAATCGCGGCACATGGTGAACAGGCAGCACCAACGTCATCACGGCACATTTCGCTGTGCGCATCTATCGTCTTGGTATAAGGACTTGGTGGAACATCTCCTTGATACCCCATACGGCGATCGCGCCTTCACAAAAGGAAATAATATCGACGGCAAGGCCGATATTCTCAGGACCCTTAGAGCTGTGAATTGAGGAGATTCACTTACCAGCAAAGGCGTTAAATAACATGCGTGGCTTTCCGGGTTTGTTGGGATGGCAACGGCAGCGTGCGGCAAATACCGTCTTAGGTGTAGATATAGCCGTTTGCCGGTGACAATTACGGGCATATTTTCTCACGTAGGCGTTCATGATGTCCCAGTTGAGGCGAAATTGCATCTCGACGATTCTTGCTCTACGCCGATCTGGTGGACGTTGCCGTCTCCATATGAGACCTGCTTCAAACCGTCCATCAACGCGGCATGTAGCAGACTTCAGGATAGTCGGCCCGAGTGTATGCTTCACTCTATAGGAATGCGGCTCTGACAGCGAAATTTCGGTCTTGGAAGAAGTCAGCTACCATACGAGAGACTGATCAGCTGGAGATGGTAGCGTAGTTAAAGTTGCAAACCACCCATCCAACCTGTATTGGCAATAAATGGACCATGCGGGTTTACCCTTCATAGTTGTCATGAACTTAAATGGCAATGATCAAGACCAATCAAGAGTCTGGCCTGACCTGGGCATAAGGTTGTACTGGAAGCCGGCTTACATGTTTAAAGTTGTGATCCAAATCAATCCTTGTTAAACTCTTAGAGGAAGCTGCAAGTTTGATATATAAGTAGCATACACATTGCGGAGTTTGTGTTGTTTCTGCATACCGGCACCACTAATAAGCAAGTTCACACAAACGTTGACCTGCGCGGCATGTCTCCAAACCAAACATACAAATGCTGCTCACATCCACGCATTCCCGTCTCAAACAACAAGTAATTGTCTATCACAGATGGATGAACTCGTCCAGGAGTGCGTAAGTGTCACACGCCTTTCCTTTGTTTCGTATAGGTGACCGGCAAACATGAACAGGAGCTTACTATCAGTGGAATTGCAACTTAAGATCGCTGGCCCGCATCTTTGATGGATGCTGGCTGTCGAGGTATGCTGCAGATTGAAGGCTGTAGGCCTACGATTAGCCAGGCATATTTACAGAAATGCGTGGTTGATTGACTTGGACGAATCGGTAGTATTCCCACGGCTTCATGTAGGAGCCATGATGCACCTCCGGCAACCTTCAATTGAACATAGCTTATGACGCCACAATTTCCTGTATTATGACCCAAATTGAGACAAGCAAACAAGCGATGTTTCGCCTCATCCACCTGTTTGGCACTGAATATTCTAGAAAACGCGCACACTCATTGGCTTATGATGCCCCTGACAAATTGGATATCTCATTGATCATTGCCATGTACTGTGCAGAACCGGGCGATACTCCATTCCGGACGAACTATCAACACAAACCGTACAAATGAGCTGGCTAATTTCGATAACCACTCACTGAAATGTTTCACTGTTGCATATGGCTGTATGAACGCTGCGAACTTGCCCACTTAACGCAATTTGCTCATAGCAATTTTGACACAAGTTCGTCGAGTAATGTAGGTTTGACAATGTAATTCCCCACCATGTGCAGATTGCAAAGACACAGATGTTAAGCATACATTTGCTGCAATGGCGATTTTCGACATTGCATTCTCCGAAATAGTGCGATTTCACGTGCTTTCACAGTTGGCTACGGATCAACTTCGCTGTTCCGGGCGCCCAAATCTAAATTCTTAACAACTCAATTATATTGCCGACATTGTTCGGGTGGATCAGCACGACTTGGACGCTTCACGCTCGTAACCCTTCAGGCTCTTCAATAACCGTGGTTGACCTGATGAAAG